TAAAATATTTGTTATCACTAACTAAATATAAATTATTTAACATAAATCTAAAATATAATATATATATATATATATATATATATATGTTTAAATTTAAATTTTTTATTTATAAATTTTAAATATGATTTATATATTCAAGTATAATATTTATTTGTGTATATAATTTATTATAAATTTTAGTTATATATGATAAATATTTAATTTATATATTACACATGATAAAATATTAGTTTAAAATTTATAATAGAAATAAAAAATTAAAATAAGAGGGACAACATGCATACTCAGACATATTAAGGTAAACTCATGCACAAGTTATAACCAAAGAAGATAATTTTATCCAACTTTTTAAAAATATTTCTTGTATCCTATATGAAATATTCCAAATAACTAATATAAAGATAAATGAAAAGAGCATGCAAAGATGCTACTAGAATTTTAATTTTTTATTTTTTGATTTGTTCTAACAAAAAATAAAAGTAATTAAAATATAAAAATATTGATAATTTAATTTTTTATTACAAATAACTTCTAATTTTATTATTTAAAAATTAAGAGGTACAATTGGTTAAAAAATATAGACAGAAAACGGTTACAACAAATTGATAAAAGGTATAGATTTAAGAAGTGAGTTACGTTTCTATCCTCATCCTTTTTTATTTTTAATTAAAAAAATATTTTGTAATTTTACATTTAAAAATAAAAATAAAATAAAAAAAGATTAAAAATTAAAACAGTTACTAAGTTTGTCCCGAAAAAACCGCAAAGCACGAAAGTGTATTGTTACGAGTGAAGTGAAGTACAGTTACAAACTTCACTATAATATTTTGTTTTCTAATTTTATTAGTTAACACTTAACAGACAAATATAATTAAAAGAGTAAAAATGTTATAAAACAAATTGTGCACATGAAAAGTAGATATAATATAATAGTTATAGATACAATTTTATTGTATTTTTAGACCATCAATTAATTAAAAAATAATAATGTATATAAGTTTAAAAAATAATTATTTCAAAAATTAAAAATTTTATCATACATAATAAATAATATATTGTTAAATTATATGTACAATGTAAAAACAACACATTTTAATAGAATTTTTTATAATATTAAATTTCATCAATATAATTAATGTCTTATATTATATTATCCAGAGTTCAATAATCAATCATGTAAGCATAAGAATAAACATCTATGTTATACCATCATCAAATCACCAATCATTTTCATAGAGTCAAACAATGCACTCTATCATACAACAATCATGCAATAAATGCAACTCATGATAGAAGGGTAAGCCAGAGTTCAATAATCAATCATGTAAGCATAAGAATAAACATCTATGTTATACCATCATCAAATCACCAATCATTTTCATAGAGTCAAACAATGCACTCTATCATACAACAATCATGCAATAAATGCAACTCATGATAGATATCAATGCATATTAATCATCTAATGCGTCATCATGCATTCATCTAAGAGATCTCTCTAACAACAGAGCAATATAAATGAAATCTCATTTTACCGAAACCACCCCAATCAGTTTCACACCCAATGTGCCCATATGATCACAGCAAATTGGGATATTAATCCCCACTTGGATTTACTCGGATGATGCCACTTACACACTTGAAAGTCTGATTCCACCGTCTAGAATAGTACAACTGGGTATAGGCTTACCACGACCTTGGCATGCATTATCAAGTCACTTGTGGAGTTTTCCCATTGACTATCTACAAGGAACCACGCACCTTAATATATTAATAGATAAATTAATAATTTCATAAACATAAATTATTATATTTTAATAATTTTTACAAAAATAATTATATTAGAAAAAATAAATATATCATAAGAAAGTTAATTAGAAATATCGATATATAATTTCCCTTATTACTACTGGAATGACAAAAGTTATTAAATTTTTAACAAAAAAGACTAAAATTATACAATTACGATACTTAAAGAACTAAAATTTTTTAATTAAAAATTGAAGGGTCAAAATTGTATAATTAAAATACTTGAGAAATTAAAATTGCTTGATTAACATTTGTAGATTAAAATTGTAAAATTACAATATTTGAAAAATAAAAACATATTAAATTTATAAATTTATTCAAACGGTTAAAAGAAATCGATAAAAGTTTGCAGAAAAAAAAAATAAGTATCTATTTTTGTTTGATAAAACTCGATTACACCTTATACAAAAGTTAGTGAACCACGCGAGTGCTGATCCCTTGAGCGAGGTCAGAAAAACCTTACACAGGATAGCATCATTGTTAGTGTATAGGTTTACCTGCGTGATGTACAGATCAACGTGCTCATCTGGGTCGGTAGTGTCATCATAGTGATCGATGTTGAGAGGCTTCCATCCAAAAGAAAGAGGCGTCTCTATGATGCCGTCAAAAAAAGGGTGACGGCGGATGCTCGCCCTATGTCCTGGAGCCTGGGCTGGTGCATTGCTGACTTCATGGTCTGATCTGTACGTCGGTACATGTGACCGATGTGCAGTAGACCTATGGGTCGCTGCCCTGGGTGCAGTCGGTGGCTGGGAAACTGAGTGCCCTTCTTCCTCATTTTGATTGCTTGGTTGAGGGGGCTGATCAGAGGGGCGCTGAGGAAGCTAGGTGCGGATGCGCTCGTTCTCAACTCGTAGCGCCGCTAGGTCAGCTTCATGTCGGGCGCGGGTGTTCTCCAGGTCGGCGACGTGTTGTCGTCGTATTTGATCGACCTGCTCGATCATCCGTCTCAATGTTGCTTCTCCTTTCATTCTTGCTACGTGATCTTGTTCGTCTGTTGCTCATCTACTATGGCTTCGGGTGCGAACCATAAGCGTGGCCGATAAGAGATGTCTTGGTCGGCCCCACGGTGGGCACCAAATGTTCTTACCGGAGATCGATCATGAAGGACGATCTGTTGGGAAAGATTGGTGAGCCTCATTCACTGGGTACATTGGTTGTTCCGAAGTGGGGGTGGTACCTGCAAAAGAGACTCCAATGCTAAAGTTAGTATTTGTGGGTGTATGGGTCTCGTATATGTAGTGCACGTACCTTAGTGTGAATTACGGTTTATCTGGGCCTGAGGTCAGTTGTGGCACGTTCAGATGGTGGGCCTTTATTTTGGCCGATGTCATGTGGCGTATATCTGATGTCAATCCGCGCTTTAGTACCGAGCTCAAGCTCGGCTTCGCGGTACGGATAGTACACTAGCCCCCCGAG